ACACACGCAAATAGAGACAGACATCCCTAGACCTAAGTTGCATGAACTTCGCATTTTGGTGCATGGGCGCCCCCAAAGGGGGTTGGCGATGGCGCCTACCAAAGTCGAAACAAAAGGGAGAATAGGGGTGGCAACTATGTGTGTGTGTGTGTGGGAGGCAACACAGTAAAACACAGAAAACGCGGCAGGCTGCAAGGCAGGAAGAGGCAGAGGCAGAGGCGGGGGCGGTTGCACGCACACACACGGACTCTGGCCAAGCCCAAAGGCCTGGGATGCCGCCATTTTACTGCGTCCTGCACACACACTTGCACACCCCGTTCCCCCCTTGCACATTTGTGCTGCAGGTGCGCCACCATGTGCGAGGTATAGCGAGAGGGTGGAGAGGGGGGAGAGGGGGGAGAGGGGGGGGAGGGGGGGGTCCTAGTCCAAAGGATAGCTGATTGCGAGCTCGGCAGAAAATTTCCGACCTATCGCATGCAGTATCCTCGTTGCGTTTCCAACTCAACCCACAGAAAAAAAAAGGACTAAGAGAAGGGTAGGGGTGTGTGTGAGTGTGTGTGTTGGGAAAAAAACACACTGGCCCTAACCGCTGGACACCCGCGCCTCCCCCCTCCCGCCACTCTCCAAAACCGACACCCGCCCATGCGTGCCATACACCCTTTTCGGTAAAAAAAAAAGAAACACGAGATATAGCGCAGAGAGCTCATCCTGTCCGAAGCCTGGTCTTTCCTCTTTCTATTTTTTCCCCCCCCTCCACCACCATCACGAGAGAGGGGGTGGGGGGGTGGCACTGGCACACTGAAATTCCTTGCTGCGATATCAATTAAGGATACAGCTCACTCTCGAGCAGTACGCTTTTATCCTTTTGCTTTTTGTGAGGATTTTTAGGCAGAGACTCGGAGACCGAAAGTCCTGGCCAGGCCAGGCCATGCCAAGCCCCTGTCCAGTCCAGTCCGAGTCCGAGTCCGAGTCCTGTCTCCCTCCTCCACCCACCCACTTGAAAAAGAGGAAGAAAAAATCTAAAACCCGAAACTTTGTTCAATGCTGCAATGGACAGGCCAAAAAATACAGACAACGTTGCGAGTTCGAGTGAGAGAGTGATGTCCTGCTAGAGCGAGACAGCGCTACTGCACAGAGCTGCATGTGCGTGTGTTTGCGTCATATGTGTGTTAGTGTGTGTGTGTGTGTGTGTTGGCCCTAATGGAAATTGGTTTTATGCATGTTGGCTTTTGTTTATTTTTACAATTTTGATGATGTTTTGCTGAATGCGATGCGAGTGGCACCTCCCCTCTCGCTCGCACTCCCAATACCCCAATCCCTCACCCCATACTCCTCCATATTGCTCTCTCTCTCTTTTGGTCTAACTGGCCTTTTTTGGGTGTCGACTGTACTTCCGGACATTGCATCTACTACGTATGTATGTGTGTCTGTTAGTGCGGGTTTAGGTCTAGGCTGTACGCCCTTTTTCGATTAGCTTTCAAACAAAAATGGCGCCTTCAACGGTGCGAGCGAGAGAGGGCGATAACAGGTGCACTAGAGGTCCTTTGGGATAGACTGTACCATGTCGGGCGAGAAACTTTCGCCAAAAATGCCAAAACAATCAGCCAACTAGTTTTTTTTTGACAAAAAAAAAAACGATCGAAAAGTGAGAGGTGGTTATTGTTATTGACCGAAATGCTGGAATAATAATTGATATCTCAGAGGACAAATAAGGACAATGGTGACTGTACTTGATCGGTTTATTTGGTTCGAATGGGTTAAGGTATATGAGAATGGGTTTAAGCTATTAATTCCTTTCTTTAGATACCTTAAAAAGTACTTTCCCTGTTAAGGTAACTCCAATTTCTTGAGAGTCAAGCTAAGACCTATCTTTAGGTATTGTAACGCTTGTCCTACTTTTAAAACATGTTTATTCTTGTCTTTAGTTTGATCTAAGAGGAAGCTTTCAAGGACTTCAATAGGGTATCAAGGAACTGGTTTAGAAGGTCTTTTTGTAAAGAAATGCAACAAAACAAGCTGAGAGCTTGATTGACAATTTTCTGGATTTTTGACATACTTTAAGGACATGTTCATTCTTGTCTTTAACTTTATCTAAAAGGTAACTTGCAAGGACTTTAACAGGTCATCGAGAAACCCGAGAAAGGATGTGTACCAAAGCTTAGTAAAGCTTACAAAGAATTTTTTAATGGTATTTTTTTTATTAATGGACGTTTCTTGGAAGTTAGGGCTTTTGCTTTTACTGTTATAGTTCTCATTGTTTTCAGATTCTGCTTCCTTATAGAATCTTTGGAAAAACAATTTCAGGGAGTGTTTTAAAAAATATATCAGTTTTAAAGCTTAAAACTACATAGAATAATAGAATAGAATAATAGTTTAACCTAGAAACTGTTAAACAGACAAAAGAATATATGTATGTATATGTATGCATGTAATAACTATAGCTGTTGCTTTTACAGATATAGTTTTTATATTAGTTTGAGGATTGAGGATTATATTATTTTCAGAATACATGTATTTTCTTATAATTGTTGATAAAGTAACAATAGCTTAATAGCATTAAGACTTGGAAAAGTATTGGCACTATATAGGCACTATACACTATAGTCTAAGCAGTTTATAGGCAAGTTCGAACACTGGTATAGATATTATAGGCTGGTATAGACCATTTATATAATTTGCTTTAATTTTTAGTTTTACTTTACTTTTACTTTCTTATACCATATACCAAACCATTACCAAATGTACAAACAATTCGTAATACATTTCGTAATAGTACAGCGTATAAACTAGAAAATAGACATACGATAACGGACAATTGGACATAAGGACACTTCTATATTCAGTACATACATATCTGTATATCATACAAATGACTTTTTTTTTGGCTTAATATGATAATTTAACAGAAACATCCCCATAAGATATATGATAGATAGGTAGACTTTTAAGAACTTTGCTGTTAATAGTTCTACGTGATAGAATAGTGATAGAACATGTCTATAAGGACATCACTAAAATACCATTGTGAACCTTTCAAAAAATACAAACCCAAGACTTTACATGCTGATTAGTTTTAAATACCAAACCAGTAATCAAGAGACAAGTGCTTGCCATTAAAAAAAAAAATAGTTAAAAAGAAAAACTAAAACCCACCTGGGAAATGTGCCTAGAAAGAGATACAAAGCCCCCAGAGCAAGACGGAAATAGTAGGAAAATGGAAAATAGAAGCGACACTTGAGAGTGGGGGGGAGGAGAGGCAGCTCTTGTAACGATTAATAGCCATAGTTATGGTCTGACCGACCAAACACCCACCCACCTGACAGAGCCCCCCCTTAAGCCTCAACCTGTGTGTGTGTGTGTCTGCAACACACAATGAAGCTGCCGATAAAAATCCTAAAAAACAGACACACCTACACACACTCACATACAGGACATGTCGCACTTTGCATATGCGTTTTTCCACCACCCACCCGACGGTGTCGAATTTTCCACCCGCCCATTTTCCACAGAGAGACAGAAACACACAAGGAAAATAGTGGAAAAAATTCCTTTAGGTTCGACATTTGACTGCCCAGTGCTGGTCAAATGGGGCCTCAAAATCGCCAGGACACCATATATGTATGTATATGAATGCACTTGTGTGTGTAACAGAGTGTGTGTGTATGTGCGAGAGTGCCCAATCAGAGACGGGAAACAGGTCCTTTGGATTTTCCGGCTTTTCCGGGCGGGGGTGTGGCCATTGGGCAGTTTAAAATAACAACACAAAAAAAAAATACACAAAGAAAAAAATAAAAAAAAAAAAGAAACAGAAAAAAAGGGAATTTTTAAACTAAAAAAAATACATTTAAAAAATAAATTTACTAAAAAAATTCATTTAAAAAAGGTAAAGTTCATTTATCAATTTAAATTTTTTTTGGAAAGTTATGTAAAATAGTTACATAAAACTAAAAGAAAAAATAATTTAATCTTCCAAAAATAATGTTTTAAAAACCACCCTCCCTAAAAATTTTCCAGATATGTACTTCAATTTTTTAAATTAAATGAATAAGAATCTTTTACTAATTTTTTAACATTTGCTTCTTTTTATCTTAAAAATAAAGAATTTAGTAAATAAAAAACAACAAAAAATTTTAATTTCAAACTCTAATCTAATTTTTAATGAAATATTTCTCACAAAAACACAATTTTCACATTTTTTCCAAACCTTTGTTTTAAAACCTCCTCCCACCTTAAAAGAAAACACCATCATTTTATTTTAATTTTTTAAATTTTTATTAAATTTTTCATTTTTATTTTGTTTTTATTTTACGTTTTTTGTTTTACTTTTTCTTAGAAAAAAAAATAATTTAATGAAAAAAAAGAAACTGAATCAAAACTTTGCTTAATTTTTTATTTTTATTTTTTTTTTTTAATTTTTCTTTGATTTGTGGTTGGTTGTTGCTATTGTGTTTCTTTTTTTTTATTTTTTAGTGATTTTTTGGGTGAAAAAAAAGTGATTGAATTACTGTACATAATTTTTGTTGCTTTTGTTGGGGTTTCACTGTAAAGTTCACAAAATCAAGCCACTACATTTATTATTTTATTTTTGTATAAATATATATATTGTATGCATTTATTGTTTTATATCATATTGTTATTTTTTTTTTACTAATAGCTTAAAGGCTTCTTTGTTTGTTTAAAAAAAAAAAAGGTAAATTTTTTAATCTTTTTTTTAGTCAAAGGGACTCATTAAAACACAACCCAGGCAAAGCTCAATTTAACAATCGAATATTTTATAGAAAAATTTTCACTTTTTTAAACTAAAAAAAATTTTATTTTTTATTAAAAAAATTAAGAAAATATCTATATTTTTTGCCTTTTGAATCGCTACTTGGGTTTATGTTTATGGATTGGTTATTTCCAATACAGATACAAATATATATATGTTATATATATAGTATAGCCGCCCCCTTTTTTCCACAAAAAAATTTAAAAAAAAAATTAAAGAACTCTGGAGGAAATGTTTTTAAACAGATACGTGTATTGTTTTCTTTTATTTTTTTTTAAGTTTAAAATTTAAACTTACATAAAGAATGCTTTCGCTATCTCCACTTTCCGTTCGCCGATCGCCCCGATCGTTTGGATGAAAAAAATATATTTATTTTATTTTTTTTTTATTTTTTATATTTATATGTATACGTATATTTATATAATATATATCCCGCCCGAGAAAGTTTTTCCAATTCAAGATAAAAAAAAAAAAATTGTATTGATTTTTTTTCTTGCCATCTTATTATATTGGGTGTGTGGTGTGGTATTATTTTTTTTATTTTTTATTTTTTTTTTATCGTTTGCTTGTAGTTTTTACTTGTGGTTCTTCTTCTTCAGGCTTCGTTCCTCACTCCCTCGCTCTCTCGTGGACTTCACCTGGCTTTCTTCATCTGGTATATGGTTTTTTTTTTTTTTTGTTAAAGTATGCTTCCCCACCCGCCCGCAAAACGCAATATGGCAACAGCACCAAATATGCTGTTGCAACACCTACAGATCCTCATCCTGATCCTACTACTCCTCCTCCCTCGTTTGTGGTGCTCCTTCATCGGGCATTCAGTCTTCAACGGCATACCGTTGGGTCCACTCGCGAGCATTGCGTATGGCCTCCGCCTCGTTGACCTTCCAGAGCTCGGCCACATCGTTGGCCAAGGGATCATCGGGATTGGGGGCACTGAGCAGGGCCTGGATCGACAGCAAAATGGTGCGTATCTGCAGTGCAGGACTCCACTTGTCCTTCAGCACATCGAGACAGATGCGACCCAGACGATCGATGTTCGGATGATAGATCTTGGTGATGAAACGGACCTTCGGTGCCGACATGGGATAGTCCTCCGGTAGGAACAGCTCCAACTTGAAAACGCCGCCCTCGAACGGCGAGTCGTTGGGCCCGGTCACGATCACATGGAAGTAACGGGCATTGTTCTCATCGGGTATGGCATTGATTCCCGGCACCGGCTCCTGCATCAGACGCTGCGTCTCCTTAATGATACGACGTGGCAGACTCGACATTTTCTCTGCTCTCTAAGCGCTGCTCTCTCGACTCGAGACTCGACTCTTTCCTCGACCTTGTGATGGAGATGGACCCTCTTCTGAAGTTGAGACCTTTTCGGCTTGGGATATCTGGTTGGTGCGTCAATACTGTTGAAGAAAAATCGAAAATAAAACGAAATATAAAATATTTTTTACAAAAAAGTTGTACTATAAAATGAAATGTGTTCCGTATGCAGCAGAGGTTCTGAATTTAATGATGAAAACTGGGTTCAGGCCTTTTGACAGTACAAGTTTTGGGGTTTATGAGGCTTCTTTGTTTTTTGGAAATTTTTTTTTTTTTTAAGTTTACATATAAGACAATCAAGATCATGTCGCTTATCTTAGAATGTCTTTTCATATCCAAAACCACCTTCCAAGCCAACATACCCGTCTTCTTGCATCCCTTGCAAGAACATGTCTCTGATCCCTGATTTCATGTCCTTTCATGTCCCAAACCACAATTTTATGTCTTATAGTATTTAACCTACATATTCCACTAAGAGTCCAATATCCCACACTATTTTTAGTAAAATAGTTTCTATTTTAAGGTTCAGGAATAGTTCTTAGGTTAGGTTTTTGGGATTTTAAACAAGTTAGAACATGTCTCTGATGTTAAAATTCATATGTATTCATGACTAAAATAACCTTCCAAGTGAATATAGTCGTTTTCTTCTATATCTTAGTGTTTAACAATGAATAAAAACATGCTAAAACGTGTCTCGGATTTTATAATTAATATCTATTCATGTCCAAAACAACCTTCCATGTACCCTATCTTTCTTCCACACTGTTTTCTTCTGTATGTTAGTCTTGATAAATTAATAAAATCTTATATTTCATGCCTGCCGAAACACCTTCCCAGATATCATACCCGTTTTCTTCTATCTTTTAGTGTTAAAAAATTAATAAAGTCCTTAATTTCATGCTCATTTATATCTTAAACCCCACATTGGTGTCTATCAGTCCCTTAATTTATAATTTTGCTCCTAAAACACAAACTATATCCTATTTCTCACACTATATTTAATAAAATACGTCCTACTTTTCTAATTTGCTTAGTTTTAAGGATTTTTTCTTGAAAAAGTGACTAAAGACATGCAAGAACACGTCTCTTCTTAGATTTCAAGTGCATTCCAGACCCAAAGCACCTTCCAAATCAATATATGTACCCCTTTTCATGACTCTCTTATTCAGTTTCTTTGTTTATTTATTTTTCTAAAATACAAACCATGTAAACCCCTATATCAGCTTATATTTTCTTAGAACTATGTATGTAGTTACAGTTCTTCCAGATTTCTGTATAAAACCTTAAAATAACAACCAATACATTTTTCTAATTTTTTCTAAAAATTAATAAAAACAGCTGTTCTCTCTCCAAGTAATTCAATTCCTGCGGCATGTGCAGCATTTCACCGTTAAAAAAAATGAACAACCGTATTTTTTTTATATTTTTGCTTTTCCTCCTCAAGGACGTCGTCCCAAGTGTACGTGCGCGGGATGGGGGAGGGCGAGAGGCAATAAGGTGGTCTGTGGGGAAGGAGGAGAGAGGGGTCGCTGCTAGGGGTGTTTGGCTGGGTTTGGTTTGCTTTCACTTTCCTCAAGAAAGTTTTCGCAACACAGAATTTTGCATGCCACAAAGATGTCTCTCTAAAACATGGCATGGAGCTTCTTTGCACTTAAGGGGGGACTTGGTAGGGAAATTTAACAAATTTAAAAAAAATATTATTTCAATCAAAAATTAAAGTGTTTAATAAAATTGTAAGAAAAAACTAATAAACTTTTTTGGTAATTCTACAATATTTTTATTTTAATAGAAGCCTCCCCATTACTAAACAATTTAAATTTATTTTTCATTTTTTAGATAAAAAAAAAACCGTAAATTTTAATATGAAACTACAATTTTGTAGTTTTTTTAAATGTATCTAATGTAAGATCCTGCTACAATTCTATTTATAATAAGACCCTCCTTGAAGTAATTAAAAAGGCAGAAAAATCAAATCAAAGAACTTTTCCAAATTTTAATTTTTTTTTTTATTTAAAAATCTTTTTTTGTGACTATATCACCCCTTTCAAAAAAGAAAAAAAATAATAATTTCGTATTAAACCATGTTATTAGAAGTACCCCCCTTTTTAAGAACTTTTCATTTAATATATAAATTTTAACAAAATATATTTAAAATAAATAAAAAAAAATATGTTTGGAATATTTTATAAAGTGTTCATAACTAGAGCCACCCCTTGTGGGCGCCACCACGTGAACACTCCTCACTATGACCTTGCCATTTCTTTTATATCTTTAAAAAAAAAGAATACTAAATATTTAGCTTTATCAAAATATTATATATATTTGTGTAAGCAGGACCACCCCTGTCATTACTAGGACCCCCCTCACTATGACCTTGCAAGTCCTTTTAAATCGTTAAACAAAAAAAAAAAAAAAAAGGAAAACAAAAGTAAACAGACACAAAGCGTCTAGTGACGCACAATGGCGCGCGTGCTTCGTTCCGCGACGCAAGGCCCCCTCCCCCCACACCCCCCCATATGCGCACCATTGCAGCCAGGAGGAAATTTCCAGAAATTCCAACAACAAAATAGACTTCCAATAACTATACCACGAATTCCACAAACAACCAAAGCCTACTTACGCGGTAATTAGTAATTATCTTCAGGTGTGGAGGAGGGGGTCGGGTGGGGGAGTGTATATGCGGCTTTTATTCTATTAAAATTTATTGATTTCTTTTGGGTGACAAACGCACGCACACACACACACACGCCGCGACACGCAAGCGGAAGAAGAGGAAGCAGAGCAGGCAAGAAGAACAAGCATAGGGTGGAGGGGCGAAGAGAAGGGCGAACCATGCGGCGTTTTTGGAAAATCAATAAAGTTGGCAATTAAATAAGTTACCCAGCTAATAAGTTTACAGTTTTCCCCCCACGTTGCTCTTGTTCTTTTTTTTCCGCTATTTTCATGCAAAAATTTCAAGAGCTGGCAGAAATTTTTTTGCTCTCACACACACACACACACTAGGAGAGAAGAAAAAACACCGACACGCAGGCACGAAAAAGACAAAGAAAAGAAATCCAAGAGAGTAGCCGAATTTTGCAAAGAAGACAAAGAAAACGACACGAAAACGCCGCAATAATTAAAGAAAAAAACAATTTAATATTAACAAATTTTTTTTTTTTAAAACAAAGACTTACCACATACACACACACACAGGCACACAACCACACACACACAGTGATAGAAAAAAAAGCACACAAGATATTCGATGCCGCAGTCTCTCTGTATTTTGCAAGAAATGTTTTAAGAAAAAAAAACATTAAATTTGAAATTTAATGAAATAAATTTTAATTTCTTAGCGGCTTCTTCTTGCTTCTTACATTGTTGTTTTTGTTCTCTTTGCACTTGCACACGGAATTTTTCTTTGCCTTTTCGGTGGAGCTTAGGTAGCAGCGGGACAAAAACAATGATTTACTTTACAGTTACGATAATTATGAACAACACTCGACTCACTGAGTACGGGACCAGGTATTTGGCTATTTTTGCGTTAATACTTTTAACGTTTTCTCGTTGGATTTCTTGGTTATTTTTTTTCAGGCAGCTCCGCCACAAAAATTATGAATGTCGAACACACTCGGAAAAAAAATTTTTGCTCTTTGCTGGTATGCGTCTGTCGGTGTGAGACTCGCTTGCATGTGTTCTGTACGTGTGAGCGGCAATGTCAGATTTCCAGGGTTGCCAGGCCGTGCCGGCTCAATAATACTTTATTTTATTTGCAATTTTCATAGTTTTGTATGATGTTATTAAATGGGAGAGTATTTTTATTAAAAAGTTTGTGTTTTAAAGTATTTATTTTGGGTTTTAGTTTTCTAATTGCTATGTTTTGGTTTTATTTTATTTAGTGTTTTGGTCGTAGCTTATGGCAGCCCTATCGCTTAGCGGCTGTCAAACGTGCCCGTTTTTCGTAGCAATCAGCTGTCCGGCATGCTGCTAGCCCTGGTTTTGTAGCATTCAGCTGTTTGTTGTTTATACAATTGGTTTGAATATGGGCGCTAAGGTTTTCTTATTGGATTTAAAGTGGCGATTGTTTTAGGTTATGAGATTATTTATGGTTAATTAGGGATTAATAAGAAATTGGATGGGGAAAAGACGGAAAAATATAATTTTTTAATCTTATTCCTCCTTTAAAATATTTCTAATTTTTAATTTAGGTCGATTTTTCAATGTTTTATTTTTTAATATAGACATTTTTTTTTATTTTGTAGGTTATAAATGCGTATATATATTTTGTTTTGTTAGTAGCAGTAAATAATTAAGTTTAGGGTACATTCTTTTAAAAGTTATACTACAAAAATTTTAAAAAAATTTTATAATTTTATAATTAATTTTACAATTTTAATAGATTTTAACTTAGGTTTGTTTTAAGATTATAAAAAGTGTTTAAAAATTAATTATTTTTCTCAGATTTCTATCCAAATACTTCAAAAAATGCTTTTATTTTAATTTTTAAATTTTTTAAGCTAATTAATTTCAAGTGTCTCCAAAGGTCCTTTAGACTCCCCTTGAAAAATGTTGCCAAAAACTAAAAATTGGCTAAATGGCTAACAACAACAACAACAACAAAAAATGTTAAACGGAGTGAGACAACAACAAATTGTCAATTTGGTATAATCAACATTTATGCGTTTAACGAAAAGAGAGGCTGTCCAGCCCACACACACACACACACACACACACCCACTCGCACATTACACACACACTGAAACGTCGAATGCAATGCCCAATGGACGCACAAGAGGCGAAAAAAGCAACAACCAAAAACGGCAGAAAAACTAAAAATGCCAACAACAAACCCAATCGCCACCTCTCGTTTCCGCATACACGCGATTCATCATTCGTATTCGCTCGATTGCATTGCATAGGCCGCATATATATGCGAGTATAGGTGTGTGTGTGTGTGGTTGAGTGCGAGATAAAAACAAACAACAACAACAAGAGCAGCAGGGCAGCCATATGCATTACACACTCACCATACATACGTGCGATCTGTTTTAGGCTGGG